TCACACTCCCTTTGTGGGCTGTTCATCACTGTTCTCCACGTCAGGATGCGAATTACAAGAAAAGATACAAACTGAGACTGAGGTATGCTAAGAAGAACCCTTCAGTGCCTGCTTGCTATATGCCAGAATGACATCTCAGTTTTATGAGCATCAGCTTAACTCAGAAAATTAGGGGGGAAAGAAAATTCACCCTGAAGCACATTTTCTCATTCAAATTAAACTTTTTTCTTGGACAGCATGATCTCTAAAGAAAATGCCGGTACAACCTTAACCTTGGCAGCACGAGCACTGGGGCTGCGATAATCACTGTAAAAAGCAGTATCAGTACTTCAAGCATGAGTAAGAATCCTTGAGAACATAGCTTGGAGTGGTAAAAAACCAAAAAAGGGTCAGAACTCAACAAAAGGATTTGGAATTTTCCCTCCCTCTGCTGAAGTTCAAAGTATTCTTTCGCTTTGATATGAAAAAAAAAGAAAAGGAAAATGAAATTTATTTTTTTTTGCAATCTTAAAGCTAAAGTTTAAGCTGAAAGCTTAAAGTTAAGTCCTATCTGCTTGCAGATCTTGACAGCCTCAGGCCAGAAGAAAGTAGCCATTGTAGATCTTGAGCACACGAGTTACTACATATGTAGAAGCTGTGTGCATGTGTGAGAACAGTTGCAATAGGGACAGCCTGTTATTAGCAAGCAGATACTCTGAGTTTCAGGTTCATGTTACCATGAGACTCGAAAAAGTTGAAACTCAGCCTAACTAGGCTGCCAATGGCCTCTAATGAAAATTTCCAGTTGGAAAGGCTTGATGTTGACTTGGCATGACACCAAACAAGCAGCCTGCTGCAAAATTTTACACCAATTGTATTTCTCCTAATTAAACCCTGTCTGACCTCAGCATTAAGAAACAATTTGTTTCAGGATATAGCCAGCACACATAAGCAATTACATTCTGTTTGCCCTATTAGCATTATTTGGCTTCTATGCTTTCCAGTGCTCCTACTATTGCAAATGCTGCCTGGGAGCCAGAGGTATAGAAAGTGTGGAGTGCTTTAACTTTTCTTGTAGGGTAGGCAGGAAAAGGAGAGCAATGGAAGTTTAAACTGAAAATATCATCATCATCTTTTAGTCAAATCATAGGCACCCAGAATTAGTGATCAGATGGTCTCTTCAAGTTTATTCTGGGACAATGGAGACAGAAATAAAATGACTTGTGAAAACCACTGAGAATGTATATTTAAATTTGCTACAATTAAAAAATAAAATAAAGAGGTTAACATGTGTTCTCTCCCCTACCTTGTTATTTTTCATCCAGTTTTCTAACTTCTGCTTCTTACCAGTCAGTTAGAAATATCAGAACAGACTCCAGTGTCCTAACTGTGAAACACTAAGCCATAATCTAGCCCTAACAAGACACAGGATAAACTTATTGTCTCTGCCTTTCCGACAGCCAGGGGAATGTGGCTGTGGGAAGAGAAGTGATTTGGAGGTGGAGGTGAGAGGTGGGACCATGCTGCACCTCCAAAGCTAAGGGGCATCTTGCAGAGACTTTTCCAGTTCGTTAGGAGTAATTCTCGCTGGCAGTCAGTACCCTTCAGGCAGAGAGAAGAGAATTATTTAACACATATGGGATGTGAGGATATAGAAATCATCTCTGCATCATGGTTTCTTCACAAGCTAGTGCTCTGGAAGACATCTGTCCCCCACAGATGGGTTGTTGCTCATTGAGTAAGGACCTAGTGTGATGAGGAGGCTAGAGGAAGAGGAGAAAAGAGAAGGGGCAGCCTGTTGACCACACATTCTGCAACATGTGCAGATGACTAAACTGTGAAATACAGTGGTGAACCACAGAGGAAAAAGATGAGTGAAGAATCCAAAATGAGATGTATCTAGCACGAGACAAACTAGTTACAGTTTGGAGATCTCAACATCTTTAGTCCACAGTGGGATAGGGCTAATACCTAAATTAGACCTTTCTGTGTTTGTCTGCCATTATGAGACTGAAGAAGACTTTCTAGTGTTCAGATATTCAAGGAACTGACTGGAAAATAGCAGCAAGATGTGTTTGTGCCAAGGCCATTAACCCTCCATTCTTGCCAACATCAAATTAAATAAACTGAGAAGACAATTTGCATAACACTGTCACTGCGATATACAGTCGAGGCAACCTTTTGCAAAACTGATCCTGTGAAGAAGTATAGTACAGTAGACACTATCAGTGACTACGGGGTTAGACCTGTGAATGACTAAGCTCAACCTCTGGAAACAAGCTGCAGGTCTGTGCACAGCCCTCATTTGCAGTTGTGCAAAACTGCTGCAGGGCTTATATGGGCCATGAAAAACAGACTCCCACTTTGACCTCTGGTGCAAACTGCTGGTATGTTTTCCTGGCAGGCTTCTAGAAGCTGATGAGATCCAGGAGTATTCACAATGATGGGAACTGTTCAAAAGCAACAAGAGAACAGCAAAGAGTCTGTGGTTGCTGGAGAACATGGAGTCAGCTGGTGTGAATATACATTAAGTGATCACTTCTTTCACTGCCTGTACCTGTTCAGACCTCAGGGAGGGAAAGGAAGGAGGCACTTTCTCTTTACAAGTAGTTAAACTGTCTGCTTGAGCAGAACAGCAGCAGACACTTCCGTTGCTTGCTTTCACCTGAACTAAGCACATCCAGGAGATGCTTCTGTACCATATTTGAGCCTGGCTATTTTTTGTGACTATGTGGCAGCAAATGGAGTATGAGAATGTGCAATTAAGGATCAGAGATCTGAAACTCTGAGATGAGACACAAGACGTGTAAGGCACATCTGGAGTCTGAAATCTTTATGCTGAACAGGCAAAGCTACTTATGGTTGCTTCAGAATTGCTATGGCTTAGCAAAAAAATGTATATGTGGATAATTATGAAAGTATGCTTTAACTTGAGAGATTCTTTCAGCTCTCAAGAAAACATTTGAGGCTGAGTAAATACAAACATGCATTTTATACATTGCCTAACTATGCTCATTCTTTTCTGTGTATTTGCATAGTTAAACAATTGACCGTAAAGAATGTCTTGTGCTATCCTACATATAAGCTCAAGAGAGCGTGTCTAAATCCTATGCTCTTTGAAAACATAAAGCTTAATTTTATTTAAGTACCAACTCACGTAGCTTAATTTTCTTTCTTGTTTTGATTTTGTTCCCCCATGTAGGTCTCATCAAAAACAAAAAAAACACCCAAGTACAACCTACCTTAACACCTGCAAAGTTAAGAAAAAGCCCTACAAAAAGGGAAGCTCTCACTTGGAGCTGTCTGTGAGCAGATACAACATGTTCTTTACAGTCCATTGTGTAAATATGAAAATATGTGGAAATGGAATATATTTAGGCAAGTTTTAAAATGCATAATATTTATTCAACTCTAATAGCTTCTTATTAGGAGTCAATAGAGTCTATCAACTAAATGGGTATTTCAGCCATTTTCAATAGACACATTATTTACTCAATAGACCATAATGATTCTGAAGGAGGCATTAGGGCCTATTATGCAAATCTCTGTGTATTGTAGGTGTATTCAAAAATAGTGAAATTTTGACCCTGGCTGTTATACAGATCCTGATGACATCGCTCTTTAGAAAGCAAATTGCGTAAACCTAGTTTGAACGAAACGGAAAGGTTAGAAGTAGCACAGCGGAAATAATAGTTTTTTTTTTTGGTTGAGTTACTGAGCAGAGAATATAAGAAAATTCAGTTCAACTCTAAGCAGTCTTTTTCTTCAGCAAAATGAAAAAAAAAGGACAAAAATAATTGTGTCTCAGAAGAAGCATTTCCTTTCACACGCAATGTTTTCACTCCTTTTTTACCCAGTAGCTACACAAATAATGTCATTGCATTTTTGGCTGGTTAGAGCATTCTCCCAGGAGACCTGCAGTGAATAACCTGCTTGACACTGGATGTGTGAGGGAGGAGTTTGAACATGAGTTTGAACTCTTTCTAAGATGGCAATGCCAGTTCACCCAGCACTTCTGTTGGTCAGACCTCCAATTTCTTTCCAGCTATACTGCTGACAAATTATTTCAGGCTGACTGAGAATATTTTTTAAGATTCTTTTTCTTATAATTTACTGCAGAGAAAAACTATAAAAATGGCCCATCTGTACTGGCAGGGGGAAATCCTCATAGCACTTGGTAGGTGACCCAATTCAAAACTAATAGGTATTTATTGAAGATCCTTCATTTGATTTCAGTGAGGTTTAATACTGTGCTCCTGTATTTCATTAGGGACATTTATAAGCATCCTAGAGGAGACATATAACTAAAAAGATACTTCTGACTCCCATAGAACCACATGAAGCTCTCCCAAGTTCAGCTGAAAGTGTTGAAATAGGTGTCTTAATTCTTATCAAATATTGGAAAAACCCCAAACCGATCCATTTCTGAAAGAAAAAAGTATAAAGGTCCATACCCAACTATTTAACGTAAAGCACTGAACCCTGAAACAAGACATCCAGCCTAACTCAAGGACCAGAAGTAATATCATAAAAGACTGGATAAAATTTTTTGCACATGTGGCTCTATAGTTTGTGCAAAATCTCCAGTTACTGGGTGGATATTGCTGACCAGTGTGGCTCTCTCCCTGAGACTTTGCAGAATTCAAGATAACATTAAAAAAATAGCAGATTGACTTTGCTTTAACTTGCAGTGTACTGGGAAGTTATTTTGTTTCGAAGGGCTCCTTTTTCTTTCCTTTTTTAAAATGCTAAAATATTCAAAACCAAACAAATGACCAAATGACTGGGTCTGCTTGTGTCAGGAGCAGACACGTAAAATGTCTGCATAAAAACAATGAGTTATATGCAACATCGGCAATGACTATTACATTCCTTGTCTGTGTATGAGTCTGTGTAACCACTGCTTTTAAGAAAGGGCACAGTTGCTGGTGAGGCAGGATTTGTGGAAAAAAAGCAATATTTTGCATGAAATTGTACTGTTTGGAATTATGTGCACTGAACTAATAGACATGCATTCTCAGTTGTGTACAGCTGGTGTATTTGGAGAAAACCAGATGGACTTCTGGGCACTCAGACCCTTCATCACGTTCTGTTCATCAGAAATTAATTTGCAATTACAGCCTGGAGGATGACCAAGATTATGTGAATGTGTTACATTATATAGTATACTCTTCATATCCTTCTCTGAAAACCATACAAGGTGAGTTCGCTACACTGCCACTTACAGCTTCCTTAGCTTTAGTAGGGGCAGAAAATAGGCTTTTTTTTCCAGAATAAGATTGCTAGTGAACATTAGCACAGGTCTCCATAAGCTGAGAGATGCTACTGAGAGCAATGTGAGCCAAATGACCAACCCATGACAGTGGAGCTGGGCAGTTGTTATTGCTGGCCTGGAGCTTACAGGAGTGAATATGAGGTATGAATGACCAAAGCATAAAGATAAAGCAAGAATGAGGGTGAAGGTTTAAGTATCTTGACTATCTAGGCGAAAGTACCCTGCTATGCTTATCTATATTTGTGCTTTATGCTCTCACACCACCACCAACAGAACTTTCTTTCCTTTACTTTTTTTTAATTTTTTTTTTTTGTGTGTGTCTTCATGGAAAATAATTATTGAAACCAGTTTTGGGGCAGATTAATACCCTGGAGGTGCTTTGGCCCATTACTTTCTTTTAGACCATTTGCCTTTAACTCTCACTTGAGCTACTGTTCAACAAAGTTAATAGCACCAAATTCTTCAGGGATGGTTTATTAAATCATGTCCAAGAAAATAAATAAAATGAATGAGCACTCTCAGGAGAAAGTCCTGACATTTTAAAAAAAAAAAGTAAATGAGTCTCAGAAGTATCAAGCCATGAAATAAGTGAAGTACATTAGCAAAAGTGAGATATGTTTTGCAGCCATTAGAGGAGAAGATAAAGTCTTCTCCAGGGACCACACCTTGAGTTCTTGAAAACTCAACCAAAAGCTGTTAGTGTACCACATCCTGGCATGTAACAGGACAGACCTGAATGTGCTCTGTTCATAACTCCCTCCCACTCTCCCAGCATTTCAGTCTGCTTTGGCTGCTACTGAATCAATGGACTTTGATATGAGGAAGCTAGAGTATAGCTTTGAACTCCACTGAACCCAATTATATCTGGTCATTTCAGAGAGCTGTGGTGGTGCGACTCTGAACTAGGAGGCAGAGAGTTCACGACAGATGTGAGTGCTGCAGCTGCAGGAGAAAATTCATCCCATGCTGTGGTATTGCAGGTTTTTTTCCAGAAAAGAATGGGAAATCTGAACTAAGAACTAAGCTGCTCTAATTAATATGAGGAGATTTTGGCAACTAGTATCTGGTCTGGTTTGGGGTTAATGCCTTTTAATTGCCATGGCACAAGTGGTAGGTTTTATCTCTGACTGTTACTGGAGGTGCACAGGGGATTCAAATCATTTGCTGAAATGGGAGGAAGTCAGCTTTTTTTCCAGCACCAGTATAGAGCATACCTCTTGTCTTTGGCAATTGACACTTGCCATTTAATGCTCAAGAGAGGATAAGCATAGCAGGAACCTTAATTTCCTAGAGATACAGGGAATACCACATCAAAATGATATTAGAAAGCAGACTTAGTTTTGCCCATGGCTCATGTAATTAAAACCTAGCCTGGTGACAGGGTACAGCATATAGAAAAAAAGTTACCCTTGGGCAGAGGACTGCTAAAGTCTTATGCATCACTGAAGTCCTATTAAAACCTTTTTTTCTTGGCTTTATTAAAACCAATTTCATTCCTTGTCCCTGAAAATGAACCTGTGAAATGTTTCCGTAGGCCTTCCCTGTTATAGACAGCTTTCAAATGCTCATTGCTGATTCTGTTCTCACAGGGACAAAGCCAGTGAATTAGTCTTGATCTCCACCACATTAAGCAAGAGCAGCTTCCACCAGGTTTTCATGGCTGCCATTGATTTCCCTCAAGAAAAGAGGAGAGGACCAGTAAAACCTGCCTGCCAGCTTTCTCTCAGGTGGAAAAAAACATGAAATTGTGCACCTTCCACATGCATATAGTCATCTTTTCCATTAAAAGAAAATAAAAATGCATGGTAATGTCTAGCCCTTCCACTCCAGAATATATAGGGGGCCTATAGGGATGCTGGGGAAGGACTCTTCGTTAGGGACTGTAGTGATAGGACAAGGGGGAACGGGTTAAAACTTAAACAGGGGAAGTTTAGATTGGATATAAGGAAGAAATTCTTTCCTGTTAGGGTGGTGAGGCACTGGAATGGGTTGCCCAGGGGAGTTGTGAATGCTCCATCCCTGGCGGTGTTCAAGGCCAGGTTAAACAGAGCCTTGGGTAGCATGGTTTAGTGTGAGGTGTCCCTGCCTATGGCACGGGGGTTGGAACTCGATGATCTTAAGGTCCTTTCCAACCCTAACTATTCTATGATTCTATAATTTCAATAACAGATAATCCTTTGCTTTGTATACGTAAGATCTTCTGAGACGTGCTCTTGTTTTGTGGTCACGTAATTGGAGTTTGATATTATCCAAATCTCTGCTAAACCCTTTTTCCTTGTGCTTGTAACTACTGTCTAAGATGTTTAGTCTCTGTATATTGCCCTGTTCTGGTTGATTGTTGGAATATTTTTCACTCTTTCTAAATATAATTTTAAATGCTGGAAAGATCTTCTTTGGATAGACTCTGACCAATGCTGTCTGGAATTTAAACCTACTAATTTATTATAACACATTAGTTTGCAGTTCTAATTATTCCTTGTATTCCTTATGAAAAGCTGCCATGAAACAATAGTGAAAAGCAAACTTTTCCATGTTAAAATTGTGTTAAGAAATCTGTGGTAAGAATAGTGAAAGTCACAGTTTCTAGTCATATTCGTGGTCTTGAGGTGATGATTTTCAGGTAGTCAGACTGGAAGTGGAAAGGGACTGATTTAAAAAGCATATTATGAAAAGAAGACACTCCAAATTTTTAAGCTGCAAAGCTAAGCCAAGTTATTGGTTATTATCAGGTGAAACAAAATTAGTGGAAAGTAATTATAACAAAATTTAGAGAAAACAGTTTCCTGGAAAAGTCTCAAAACTTAAAACTGGAAAGCTACTGCTTCCCAAATGGTAGCAATAGTTATAAAGGCCTCATCCTAAAGACTGTATCTTGTTTAGCTTTTAAGAAGGTATGAAAGATACTGAATTTTTAATTCTAAAGAACATTTAAGGTAGAGTTGCAAATGGAGAACAAAACCCCCAAAATCCCATTATTTTACCTCCAGAATTACCAGTAAACATCTTCTGAATGTTCTTCAGATACTAACGACAATTTTTCTGCCTTAACTTCACATAACTAAAAATTAATTGTATTATTTATAATAGCTGTCTCAAGCATCTCTCTTTTAAAAACATTTCACATATAAAGAAGTGATGGTATTCATCTAAGAAAAATGTACAATGGCCAGAAGCAGAAACCAACTACTAGCAATGTGAAATAGGACTTTGTTCGTGTTTCATATCTCTCAGATTACTTACATATTTAAAGATTCCTAAGACCAAGCCTTCAGGGTTTTTTTTTTTTGCCAGAGTACCTGAATAAATATAATCAGCAATACAACAAAGCTGAGGTGGATATTGAAGCTGGGAGGGTTTTTTATATTTTCTGATATAAGGAAATTAATTTAATTGCTTGAATCAAAGCAAAATACAAACCTCAGCAGAGTATTAATAACCTCAACCTCAACAGAAAGGCATTTGATCATGTAGAGTGGGATTTCTTCTGAAAAGAAAGAAACCTCACTCCAGAGTAATGTCAGATGCTGAATTTTTCCATCTGTGGTGATAACATTCAGCGTAGCGACAGATTAACTTTCAGGGACAAGGAAACAGATCTGGTTGGTTTTGTTGGCATTGTTACGCTCAAGCTGCATATGCTCTGGTATATTCAGTATGATTCTGAAAGAGAATTGACTTTTTCTATTCAGTTTCTCTTTTACCTACAGGATCAGCCTCAAACATTTGAACCACATTATACTTGTATTGCCCTGTGGGTCTGTAAAAGACACATATGGTCCCAGAGAGGTCCATATAGTCCCAGAATGCTGCAAAGCTGACATATCCTGATGAAGGTCATCTGTGATATTTTTTTCATCCATCTGTTTCTGCTGTCCAGTTGATAAAACCAATTACAACTCATTCAGTTTTCCATCCACTACAGTTAGAGTTCACACAGTCAGAGGCCAAAACTCCCACAGGGTGTAAATGCTCTGAAATCAGCGTATTAAGGGTATCATTTCAGAGTGTTTAGCACCAAGCATTCCCACAGAGAACAATAAGGAAGGATGTTTGCTCATTTAATTGTCTCCTCTGATGCCTGAACAGGCTATGAAGTCCCAAGGACTTACAAAAACATGAGCTTCAGATGGGAGCATATATGCCTGGGAGCATATATTGTGAGGGATCTCGTTTCCTCTCATATGGTCATGTGAGAAGGTCTTTCAGTTTCCCATCTATAAGCAAGGTAACACTAGCTTCACTAATCTTTAATCTTTCTTCTCAGTCTGTGACTGGATTCACAAACACTACATATTTGTTTGCAATTAGTAAAAAGGAAAAATACTGTGGGTAGTCTTCTTCAGGTCATTACTGCAAATATAAATAAAAGAGTTCTGTTGCAAAACTGATAACTATCGTCAGCATGTTGTTACTTTCTCTTCAAGTTAATCAAAATTACCTACAACTCATGAATTGCTTGCCAATGACTGGTTAAAGGGCTGTTGTGCTCCTTTTTCCTTTAAAAAATGATTTTCTTCCTCATTTTCAAGAAGGGGCAAGGAGAAGGTAGCTGTTGCCATTATCCCTCTGCCAGCTGTGTCTGTCACTGGTCACTGGAGTTTTGGCACCATGATCAGGAGTTGTCGGTGATTTCAGATCCCTTCTTGAGGCACCTCACATGCTCTTTAGTGGCTTTTATGTAGCGACACAGCAACTTCACAGATGGCTTCAGGTGTGCTGTTTGAATGCTACTTTTCCAAATGCTCTGCAGTTCAAATGAGTTCATCCATCCCTGCCACTTGCCCACAGGCACTCTGGAAATGTATTATTTAGAGCCTTCCTCCCTTGGTGTTTCAGAAATAAAGGTGTAAACTTTCTTTAGAGGTCTGAGAAAAAAGTATTTCCTTTGCTCTTGTAGGAAGAAGTGAAGAGCCAGCCTTTGAGCTGTGCGTGCCCCCAGAGGGTACTTGCGTCAGGAGAGGTGAGAATTAGTGGAGATAATATTGCCCTCTCCCTTTCTGCGTCTGCGGATTGTGAAGCCACTGAGGCATGCTGTGTTGACAACTTGCCACTACAGTTGCTGGAGGGATGGTGTAATATTTCCAGAGCAACCATGCATCCTTCATCACACCTTTTGCTGGGCAAGGGAGGTAGGAGCTGCCTTAAAAGTTTTATCAAGTCTCTTAAAGATTTATGATGCTTCCATGCCTTCTATATTGCCAGCTTGACCAGTTGCTCATGGTGGAGAGCAAAACAAGGAGGCTGAAACACACGCTCTATGGTTAACATATTTTGAAGGGCTGGGGTCTGGAGATTCAGTATAAAAAGTGTGAGGAGAAATGGCTGGATCTTACTTGGATTTTTATCAATGTGCTTTTTACTTCTCCCAGAAATGCTTCACTGAGGGATGTCCATTTAAAGTAAAGTGTGAAGAAGAGCACTTTTGAGGGCCAAGACTCCTTGTCTCTCCAGGGTGAAAAAATCTCCAGTTTTCTAAGCCGGAGTCCAGAGGTTTCTTTATTCTGCAAGTCAAGAATTTTGCAAAATATGAGCCTGTGAGGCTCAAAAGATGGGCTTTTCACTCCATTACAGAATGAAAACAAGTTTGAAAGCTTATGAACTGGAATTGCTGGTCTCCAGATAGCAGTACATGATGAACATTTCCCTTGCAAAAAGCCCCAGATAAATACTCCAGAATATTGCAATAGCAATCCCAAGTAGAGCTGTAAAACCAATGTACAGTGGATGTGTTGGAGCAGAATGGTGACAAACTGCAGTAGTTTAAGGGAAGCATCTGTGCGTGTGGCAGTGTGGAGTACAGATCCAGTCAGTGTGTCACATGCAAGTGGTACCTCCTTGTTGGAGCCACGTCTGTGTAAAGCAATAGAAAAGAGCTGAGCTTGTTGAAGCATGGGATGTAAGAACATCTGCCCTTCAAAATGACAGTAATGCATCAGGTAAATGGAGGTGAGCTTGAACCACATGCTGCATCTGACATAATTAAAGGTGATGGAAAAGTACTGCTGTTGTAATGGGAAGATATGGTTTACTATATCTATCACAAAGAATGCCTTTGTAAGAAGAATGGAGCTGGAAATAAAGATGCACCAGATTTGTACCAGCAACAGAATTTCCTAGTACATTATTCTACAGCTTTCCTCAGACACTTGGTTGCATCTGCTGCAAAATGACTGCTTATGTCTGGACAAGTTTGAAATGTTAAGCTATACTTTTATGGGCTATGTCAGGTTACATCTTGTTGCAAGGGGTAAATCATGCACAATGGCTTAGCCCTCCAACTTCTGTTCTTAGATGAAATCTTTGGATAACTGTCAGGTTAGTAAGAGGAGTGACAGGCAAACCTTAGATCAGTTCAGGAAACAAGGGTCATGATATTAGACCCTCACCCTGTTCTCATACAATAACCTTCATCCCCAGACCCTGTAAGAAAATGGGGTAAATAAAACAAGGCCTCTGTCAAAATCTGAAATTGAATATGCAAAATAACAACAATAAAACAGGACTGACACAAGTAACAGAGTTTCACAAGGAGAATGTGAAGCATGAAAAAAAAAGTTAAGAAAAATCAGGCCAGGCAAATGACTGCACAGATTGCAATTTAGATAGAATAAATGCTCTAAGACCAGCAAGAAACCTATTTAAATATTCAAGCTGAGAAAGAACCAATGCATGCACCAGAGTTTCAGTTGCCTCAGTCATTAAGCAAGCACAGATTTTATAGGTGTTCAATAAAGGGAATTGTCAGGTCTTCACAACACAGTTAATATGAGAATGAAATGACAAATCAGAGTTAAAGGTTACACCCAAATGC